TCACTGAGAGATTAATGATCACATGCAAGACGGTGTGAACTGGTTTGAGGCTGATTAGGCATCAGGATTATTACTGAACTTATGTTTCTGAAAATCTTCTCTGTCCACAATATGGACACTTTGGTCCTCAGAAGATTGTCCCTCATCCTTGAGGGTTAAGGTGCATACCTCAGTCTCGACCGTAGCTGGATCTATATTTAGCTGTGACTATTACTCTTTTACTTATCTATTGTGGTTTAAAAGAAAAATCATCATCATTTACCAAAAGTGACCATTCCTTTTTGCAACATACAAGATCCAGATATGTAGTGTTCAGTATGAGTGAACAGCTCATTCTTTAACTGTGCAGACCAGGAGATGGCCTGCAGTAAAATGCTGCGCTACTGTCTGGTTCACAGCATTTTAGTCTGAAAATGGTGGCAACCCTACAGAATCAATGACACTCTAGGCACAGTGGGACATAAAGGCAGACCTGAATGAGAACACATGCATAAGTTCACTGGGACACAGAAATGGCTGAGTTTGCCACTATCTATCTCTGCATTTCAACAAATGGATTTTATTCCTTTTTTGTCATAGCTTATGACTTTTAAATAATACGAGCTGACCGGAAACCAGTTTCAGTTTCTGTATTAGAATAAATAGAACTTGCAAAGTTTCATATCCTGTGAAAAAAAGGTGTATCTAATAATGTGTTTGTGGGGTATGGGGAAGGTTTAATCATAGACATACAATAATGTTTAAGTCCCCAAACCAAGGCCTTTTAAGGCTAGGAAATACTAAGATATCAATATAGTATCAACAACTACACTGTGTGCAGAATTATTAGGCAAATGATTATTTTGACCACTTCATCCTTTTCATACATGTTGTCCTACTCCAAGCTGTACAGGCTTGAAAGCCAACTACCAATTAAGTAAATCAGGTGGCAAATTGGGTGAGAAAAGAGATTAGACAGATGTCTTTCAGAGGGGTGCAGGAGTTTCGAAATTGCCAAGCTTTTGAAGCAGGATCATCGCACAGTCAAACGGTTCATGGAAAATAGCCAACAGGGGCGCAAGAAGCGTGTTGAAAAAAGAAGACACAAAATAACTCCCCATGAGTTGAGAAGGATAAGACGTGAAGCTGCCAGGAAGCCATTAGCCACCAGGTGTGCCATATTTAAGAGCTGCAACATGTCTGGAGTGCCGAGAAGCACAAGGTGATTAATACTCAGGGACCTGAAAAAACGTCAAGATTGGCCCAAGAAACATCTGAAGACTGATTTCTTCAAGGTGTTTTGGTCTGATGAAATGAGAGTGAGTCTTGATGGGCCAGATGGATGGGCATGAGGCTGGATCAGTAAAGAGCAGTAAGTTCCTTATCGACTCAGACGCCAGCAAGGTAGAGGTGTGGTACTGGTATGAACTGGTATCATCGAAGATGAGTTTCTGGGACCTTTGTCGGGTTGATGATGGAGTCCAGAACAACTCCCAGACCTACTGTCAGTTTCTGGAAGACACCTTCTTCAAACCATGGTACAACAAGAAGTCGCCATCATTCAAGAAAAACATGTTAGTCTCTAATGTAAACTGCAAAAATTTGACGTTATTACATCATGTTCTACTCACACATATGAGTTTTGTGTCATTTGAAGCTGTTCTGAAGATATTCTGTTAGGTTATATCCAAGTAACGTCTTCCTATGGGCAACGACTTGAAGGCACAAACTAAACTGTTCATAATTTATTCTGTATGGTACGCCAGCATTCATAACATCTAGGCGAATCACTGTCCCCCAGACATCCGCGGTTAGATTTTTTATACTTATATTTTTTTAAAACAAAGCGGCGCGTGTATGACATCATCCGTGGAGTCTCAAACACTTTTTCACAATGTTTACATGTATAACATATTTCAGTGATGGATGTTTCTTTAAATTATTCTACTTCCTATTTTTCTGGCCAGAAATAGGGCTGGGCAAGAAGAACTGATACTCACAGATCTGCTTCATTATAAAGTTCAGAAACTTTCTCACAGAATCAAATCTGTTTTCATAATTGCAGTGAGTTTAGCATAGCTTCTCTTTAACTATTAGTTATTATCAGGATGTCGTTAAGAATGAGATCCACTCCAAACTTGTTCCAAAAAGTGAGATACAGCATAGAAAAGGAAGAGGACACAGTAGAGTGGGAGAAAGAGAAGGTTTACATCTACAACTACATAAATGACCTGATGGATGATCCTCAGCAAGAAGAAGAAGGTAAGAAAGGAGATTATATAAACAGGACATACATTGATGTAAGGCAATAAGAAATGTACTATACTTGTTTTATCTTTTATTAGACCGAGGAGTCCAGAGCGCTTCACACTACATTCACAAATTCAGTCAACATTAAGCTGCCCTGTAGTAGCCTGACAGAAACACATCTGCTATAGAATTGGTTGAACTGCTCCCTTTGACCAGCATTTACATGGCAGGGGTTAAAGCATGGACGAAATTTGGATTTCAGAAGTGGGGGGAAACAATTATCTTTTAATATAACTATATAATTGCTATATATAATTGTTTTTTCTACTTGTTCTTCTGTGTTTGTTTCTTCCACTTTCTCTCGCATCACTGCTATAGGTCTCCTGACAAAGCATAGGACAATTGGATAATTTGGGGTCAATCCATGTAGATTAAAAACACATAGTTTTACAATTATTATGAGCTTGGATATATAAACTCACATTCATAGATTATACTTTTTTCCTTTTTTATGATAATAATACGTAAGAATAATATTTTTTAATCAGCAGTTGTAATACAAAAAAATATAATTTACAGGACTATTGAGTTCTTGATAATTCAGTGGAGGATCTTGAAGTGAATATGCTGCTCTATGCAGCCTGCGAAGGTGTTGTAGGAGGGATTTTACACAGTTCTTTGAATATAACTTAAATTTTGACCTTTGAAGGAGACTCTTATATCTGTCTTTCTTTTTTCAGACATCGTAGCTGCGAGTCTCATAATCAAACACATGCACTTGACACCAACTCAAAGATTCATGTAAAATAAGACATCTCATGTAACAACCCTCCTAGATTACATGACCAAAGTGAATGGTAACACGTAGAACTTTAGCAGCACTGTGACCCTCCAATAGCAGACCCCATTTAGTGTCGTATAAACTGAACTTCTCAGGAGTGATGGCGATGACAGCCAATCACCCAAGAAGAAGGACCCATTAGGATCTTGTGGGCTGCCTAAAGTCATGGAAGCGGGCTTCAGCTTGAGCTGCGGTTTTCCGCTTGGTCCTAGAGCTTGATGATTTTCGGTGTACTGCAGCGTAACAAAGAAGAAGAAAGAGATAAATAAATATATATATAAATATGTATAATCACACAAGACGAAGGACCCCATCAAAGCTGTCTAAATTCATGGAAGCGGGCTTCAGCTTGAGCCAAGGTTTTATGCTTAGTCCTAGTGCTCGATGATTGTCGGTATATATATAATTTGTTTTTTCAATTTCCAAGACAAGTTAAATATTTTAATTGTATACCATTCATATACAAACAACAATATCAATCATAACAACAATAACAGAATTGGCACAATCTGTATCAAGACCCTGCATCATTCTCCATGTTCCTGACTCCTGGTCCATCTCCTCCCTGACTCCTCTCCTTCTGTTATGGCAATGAACATAAAAAAAGATGTGGAAAGCTGATTTTTTTACACAAAATTAGGAAGAAGCCTTGGAAAGTGCTGAGGCATTTAACTTTTAAGACATATTTTTTAATCTCTTCCCTGACTCTTCACTCTTTACTGTGACCAAAAGACGTAATTTAAATATGTGGAGAGCAATTGTGAGCATAAAGTCTGGCCAGAATTTAAAAAAGATTATGTTTATTTCAAGGATAAAATAGCAAATAATTGAGAGGTAGCAACTTTTTAAATTATTGTTAAGTAGTTTAACATATTGATATAGTGGCATGTTTTACTATGTCATCATATGACTAGCAAGTCTCATTTGCAAACAAAGTTACACAACTTACAGAATTTGTTTGGGGAAAAAATGTACGAAGTCTTTGCTTCTTGCTGCTGATTTGCTAAACATCCTGATACTTACATAATGCAACACGTCTAATGTCAGACTTTTGTATTAGCAAGTGTATGCTTGCTAGAACACTATAAAAAAAATCTTATTGGTGTAAATTTCCTGCCCTGGTTGGATGATAAGGACTTAAATCACTCCTCCCCCCAAATCCTCAACTTCTCCTCTCCAACAAATAAACATGCTGATCCCAATAGAAGTGTTTCTTATTCTAGTGGTGCTACTGTCTTCTCTTGATGAGCTGAATCTCATGTTTTCAACCAAGCATCTTCTGGGCTGTTATTATTTTTCCCTCCAAAATATAAATCAAGACAATCTTCAGTAAACTAACCTAAAGAAACCATCATTCAATTTCTATTTAGGATTTTATTTAGGAATTTTGCCTTTTCGATGAGCAATCCTCTTTCTCAGAGTTACTAGAGTGTTTCTCTGGATTTGGATCAGTTTAAACCTCCAAATATGACCTCAGGTTAATCTGATACCTTAGTAAGCCAGGGCATAAGTACAGTATGTGATTAGTAGAGATGGTATGACAAAGATATCAATAAGCCTGACCTCAAAGGAAACCCTTTACAGTTTTTGTATTGGAAAAGACTGAACTTTCAAAATGTCCTATCCTGCTTGTGTGGTTTATGTTAAGATAAATTATACTTACTTATACCATTACTGAACTACAAAAACAAACATTATATTAAAAAACTAAGTATACAGTATGATCCTCTAATAGCTGGTAAGCTCTAGTAGTAGTAGTGTGTTTCTTTAAGGGCTGTTACTTCCTCTATTCTTGTTTCTGTCAACATAGGAAATGATGACCAAAAAAACCACAACAGTAAACGTAGATCTGAAAAACAGCTTTCAATGCCACATGGTTTACAAGTGTAGAGCTGTACTTCATCAACTCAAGGAGCTGAACAATTGAGCCCAACCTTTGCTGTATCAGGATGTCATCAGATATTTATTGCAAAGTAGATTTATCCGAGAATATCAGATATACCAAAAGGGAGCAAGAGAACACAGCAGAATGGGAGGAGAGGGAAGTAAATATCTATGAGTCTGCAGAAGAATTTACTCACAATAACATAGTTTCTCAGCCTGAGGAGGAAGGTAAGTCAATTTTAGGTGATTTATTTTTGTTTTAGGGCTGTTAGAAGGAAGCTCCTAATGCTGCAGTTATCTATAACTGCTAAAACATAACATCTTCTGTTCTATTTATACTTAAAAATAAGGTAGATATCTATGTATTATTGTTGTTGCATGAAACTCTATTAATAAATATACATGTCAGATCTAGAATATGTAAACTGACTGATCACTGCTCTTAGCAACTGTAAGGTCTAGATCAGCCCACTTCAGAAAAACAGCCACAGTTATCATAAAGCAAATTATCTGCCTTTGCACAGGTTTATCAGATTGGGATTATGAAAAATTTGACTTATTTTGGTAATTCAAAAAAATAAAAATAAAAAAAAACGAAAGTTCCTTAAAAGAAGTTGAGAAGTTCAAGTATATATTTTTTTCTTCTGTTCCTGAAAATCATGCTCATAGAAAGGAAAATACAATTTAAGGAACCAGAACTGGTGTTGATCAACTGTATTAAGTCCTTAGTCATCAGAGCAAACTTTGAGGGACTTTTAGTTTTTATGCTTCCATTTGATTTCCCTGATGTGTTTTAGGGAGATGCAGACTTAATTTTTCAGTATGACTAGCTAACAGCTAATACTTACCTCTCCAATCTATTCCTCTGCAGACCAACAGGCAAACAGACAGCCTGCAGTGGAGAGAAGTTCTGCCCGGAGAGCAAAACTGTGCAACATACTGCCATGGAGTTTTATATCAGCTGCAATCATCATCTTAACCACATACTGTGAGAAAAACATGCAACAAATCAATGTAAAATGTTTTTTGGTTGAAATGCAGATCAATTATTGCTTGCTTCTTTACTGATAGGTCAACATTTCTATAATAAGGTATCAAAGTCGAACCCCTGCCTGGGGTCTTTCTGCATGGAGTTTGCATGTTCTCCTTGAGCATGTGTGGGTTCTCTCCGGGTACTCCGGCTTCCTCCCATAGTCCAAAAACATGACCATTAGGTTAATTGGCTTTTCTAATTCTCCTTAGGTGTAAGTCTGTGTGCGTGTGTGAACGGCCCTGCGATGGACTGGCGACCTGTCCAGGATGGACACTACCTCTCGCCCATAGAAAACTGGAGATAGGCACCAGCACCCCTCGCGACCCATTAAGGGATAAGTGTGATGGAAAATGGATGGATGGACCTCTGTAAAATTTTAAATGCACACAATAAGACAATAATATTAAAATCAACATTTTTTAGCAGTTGCATTGCATAAAACTTCAGCAAATGAGATAAAGAAACTTCACAAAGAGACATTGAGCAGATTATGTGAAGACATAAGACAGATGATATAACTGTTGATAAACAAAGGTTAAAAATATTAATGACCAGTACTTAAAGCGCAAAAGTGTCAAAATTATGTTCAAAATAGGTTATTTTGAAATTTATTGTAACACATTCATATTCAAATGGTGGTAGAGTTCCAGGGAGACTGTACTGTAGGCGCATAAAGTTAAAAAGGAATATTTTGAGACATTTGTGAATTTAATAAAAATAGATGACTCAGAAATTAAATGATCAATGATCAGCTCAGTTCTTTTTAAATTTCATGCGACACACCTTACAAACCTACCTTTCAGAATTGTAAATTAATTTTATTGATCTCACATTGGAGAATAGTACCTCTGCATTTAACTCATCCCCTTGTGGAGGGGTGGGCTGCCATTGTGGGGTGCCCGGGGAGCAATGTGGGGTAAGGTGTCTTGGACAGGGAACCAGAGTGGCAGACTGTGGGAGTGGGGCTTGAAATCAGAATCTCAGGATTCCAAGCTCTATGCCCTAACCACTAGTTCACTACTGCCCACTAGCTAGCCTGGTCCATTCTTCTCAGGATCTATCAGGTTGGACAGGAAACATCTGTGCACATCCATTTTCAGATCTCTCCAGACATTCAATAGGATTCCAAAATGTACTTCTAGGACATTCACAAAGAGCTTCTGAAGCCACTCCTATGAGATCTCTGTGCTTTGGGTCGTTTCCCCAGTTGAAATTAAGAACCCTTTGGAACAGATTTATATACAGTAATTTTTCTGTACATTGATGTCTTCATCTTTCCATCTATTTTAGTCTGCCTCTTTCTGCTGCATCCCAAGTAATATGATGCTGCCACAGCCATGTTTCTCTATAGCGATATAGGAGTGGTGTCTTGTTACCCCAGATCAAAGAGTTCTATCTTTGTCAAATCAAACCAGAGAAATTTTTTTCTCGTGGTCTAAAGATGCATTCCTACCAAACATGTTTTTGGTGCCCAAATCACTTAAACACTGAAACTTGGTTGGTTGGTTGGTTAAACGCTGATCATGATGCTCTGATGCTTGGATGCTCTGGTTCTTTATCTGCTCTGTTCTGTTATTGCAAGCGAAAGCAGCTTGGCTTTATTTACTTTGATAAGTTGGAAAAATGATTATTATGTGAGAAAGTCCACCTCAAAATATCATCTGTGCAGTGCAGTCAGTTCAGATTATGATTACACTAGAATATTGTGCTCTTGTTCAGAGAGACAGATTCCCCGTATACTGACGGGACACAGCACAGGGATTCCCCAGCCAAAGCTCTCTGAACCCGGCCAGGCTTTCAAGATTTCCTGCTGCTGTTCTTAGCAGCTGGAAGTGAAAATAAAGTGTGGTTAAAAAAAAAAAAAAAAAAAAAAAAAAAAAAATTGCAACTACTAGAATGTAAAGTCAAATATTTTTGCCGTCAGTTTTTAACATTTTTAGTTAATGTAGGTATTTACAGTATTAAGTTTTGCCCCAGTTCATGAAGAAAATTTGTTAGTGGAGTAAGAATCATCAGACCTCATTCTCTTTTCCCCTGGAGGAGCTTTTCTGATTAGTTGATGTTCTGCTTCAAGTAGTAAAACTTCAGATATTTGAACTCCATCGTCCAACTTTGGAACGACCCAACATTGGAACACCCAGGCACTTTGATACAACGCTCCCGATGCTCAGATGTGCCTTATGACCTTACATGACTTTGCATGTAAATCAGATCATTTCAGGCCCAGAGTGCATTTAGTGTAAACGCACCATAGGAGTCTTTCAGATGCCTTTTGTCAGACTCCAGAAGGTTACCATCAGTCTTTTAAGAAGCAGTGGACATAGTAGAGCATCAGACCACTCTACCACATGGGCCTTGTTGCAGTAGAAATGGGTGTTCTTCTGGAAGGTTCTTTTCACCTTAGATAAATGCTGAAGTTGTGACAGAGTGACAATGTGAAAATGTCTATACTAATCGTTCAGTGTCCTGGTGGTTCCACACCTCTTCCATTTATGAAAGATGGAGGCCACATAGGGCCATTAGAGCTGCAAATTTTTTTCTGTTCTTTCACATTTCTGTGCCTCAAGACAATCCAGTCTACTAGGTTTAAATACAGTTCCTTTGACTTCCTTTGACAGGCACAATCAAATATGGGACCTTGTCTAGATGCAGACAGGTGTGTGGCTTTCTAAATCCTGTCTAATCAGATTAATTAATCACATCTGTACTTTGTTCAAGCTGTAGAAACATTTTAAGAATGAATCAAAGTATTATAAACATTGGCCAAATTTTCAGTTTCATGGCTCTAATCACTGTGAAGAATTATCTAAACCCAATTTCTTTCCTGTCTTAAAGTTTTATAATTCAATTGATATCTGCATATGGAAAAGGTTTTTCTTCTTTTTATCAAAAATCACTGCTAAATCCTAAATTTAATATAACCTCTGACATTCTGAACGAAGCTGTATAAATAATATCATTTAACAATGTTCCAAAAGTCAATCAGCTATTCCCTCCAGCCTTTGTTGTACAAATTTAAGGCCTCATTGAAACAAACAACAAGAAATCACATTTTGCATTTTAACTCCTACTGTGTAACTCTGTACGCTGTTTGTTTGTTTGTAGAGTATTTCATCATCCTTAGAGAAGGATATAATCTATTGTAAAAAGAAACATAAAACAATAATGGTAAAAACAGAAAGTTAGAAGATTTAACTCACTCAGATTGTAGGATTTACATTAGAACTCAAAAGTTCTTTTTTTTCAATTTTGAACAAAGTCTTCTGAGATCCAACATTTTTCACACAGATTCAAAGTAACATGCAACCTAATTCAATTGTAGTTTTAGAACGAAGCAGTATCCGGTTACTATGAAAATTAGACCAAGTTTTGCAAGAGTCACTGACTTAGCAGCCATCCCTCCTCCTGAATGAGGACACAGGAACAAAAGGCAAGGAAAGGCAAATGTATTTATATAGCACAATTCAGTACAAAGACAATATAAAGTGCTTTACATGATTGAAATATAGGAAAATAAAACAGAATCAAAGCAAGTAGAAAAAAAATAAAGAAACCAAAAAGAACATTAAAAAAAAGGTGGACTACAGAATATTAAAAAGTTGAACTAATGATGTTTCAGTTGAACTAGAACAGACTTAAAAGACAGTTTATTAAATCTGATTGGTCCAATACTTTTTACGACAAAAACCACCTCATTTGTATTACGTACAATCACTTCAAAATATTATTTTCTTTTGTACATATTTTATAATTTTACATTATTAGTAGGTCTGATATTTTTACTCTTTACTTCCTAATAAATAACTTATTAAAACACTGGAAATTCACCTGATCATCAGATGGGAATAAGAATGACAATATTTAAGGTCATATAAGACGTGGTGCTTTAAATCTGATTGATTAACATATGGATTATTTTTCACTAATCCTCTAGTGATTTTGGACATGAATAAAGTGAAGAACGGCTACGATAAACAACACGTCAAACTTTCAGGTGAGAAATTACATCCTTAAAACCAGTAAATATTTTTGCTTTATCCTTTTATACTAATTGATTTTATTCTTTGGACACGGAAACAAACAACAATCACCTACAAGCCAAACTTTTAGGTGGGGTATATTTTTATACTTAATCTATTAAATAAAATTGTGAAATTTTTCTTTTGCTTTAACAAACTGATAATATTGTTTTTAGAAATGGCAGCAAACAACAGTCAGCTTAAGGAGAGCTACAATATACTCATTAAACAATATGACCAACTAAAAGATGAAATAAACAGACTAAATTATACAATTAAAGGTAAGAGAAAATAAACGGTAAATTAAAATCAACACTACACTTTCATATTTATGGTTTGCATATTTTCTAATAAATTAAAAAAAGTCTATGTTGTTCAAATTGTTGACTGATGAAAGCAACATTTCATGCTCCTAAAACTCTGATCTTGTTTTAAGAAACGTGGTGTCCTGATGGATGGACAAGATTTCAATGCAGCTGTTACTTTACATCTGAGGAGAAGAAATATTGGTCTGAGAGCAGGAAATACTGTCAGGAAAGAGGAGGTGATCTGGTCATTATAAAGAGTAATGAAGAACAGGTGGGTCTGTTTAAAAATATATGTTTGATCTTTGATATAAATGTTCTCTTTCGGTCAGAGCTGCTCATATTCTCCGAGTCGTTTTTCTGAATGTTTTGTTTGAACAATGTATAAATTTGTATTGAAACAAAAACCCTGCTTTTGTAAAATAAATGCAACCCATGAAACAGGCTGTTTGTAGGATGTAGGACCCTGATGAAAAAATAAAAATGAAAAAAATAACAAATGATAATTTTTGTAACAACATGTGGGTTTAATAATGGCAACATTTTCGCCGCTGTGGGAGAGGGTCTTTCTCCTGCTCCCGATTCCCCACATTGTTTCTTTTGGAGAAAGGATTCAACTAAGTTCTCCACAAGCACGCAATATCAGAACCGTCTAAACAGACTAGCTCTGGCACACTCAGGCTAAAACTGACTTCCTAGACTCCAAATGTAAAAAAGATAGAAGCTATTCGTTCCATAAAGTTTTTCTACTTCTTTAAAATATTCTCATTTTCTCAGTCCTCAATTATTTCTCAAAACTTTGAAAGCCCAGAGTGCATTTTTTCCCTTCAGACTCTCAGTCAGTTGCTTTTCAAAAGCCTGAAGCTCATAAAAAAGCTCCTAAATTATTTTCAAGAAATTCTGCTTTATTGTTTCTTGTTTGAATTCCCTTTAGTGCAAGATGCTTTATCATCTTTAGAACAACATTATTATCAAACTTATTTATATTTTTATATGATGCTTCCTTTGTATATGATTTTTTTTTTTTTTTTTTTTTTTGTAAATTAAACTTGAGACCAGCTTTAAGAGATGGATTATAAACATGTGTTACTTTTCAGTTCTGTGTGAACCCACACATTTTTTTTTCCAACCCAGCACAAATTCTCAGATGTTTGTGTCCTTTAAGCTGCTCCCAAATTTGGCAAAGTTCTTTCTGACGTGACAAGGATTTGAACCCAAGTACCCATCACTACACACAACGACTTAAAGTAGATCTAGACAGTTTTTTTTCTAATGTACCCTAAACACAAACTTATTATTATTATTATTGCCATTAGTTATAAGTTTTAATCATTTTTCGATCAGAATTTTTTTTTTTTGTCAAATTATACTAAAGTACTGTAGTATTAAAATGCAAAACTTTAAAAAGCATTTATGGTTTATTAGAAGAATTTTGTATTTGCGTTTAATCCGGTAATCAAATGCAAAAAATTTGGTATTTTTTGTTTGAGTCTCATTGATGATGCAGAAACCACTTTTATAGGCTCCGCCTACCAAACTGCGAGCAGACTATAAAAACCTGAGCAATAAAACCTCTCATTGAGGCAGGAAGGATATTTTTCATTTGATGAAAAGAACCTAAAAGAATATCAATCTTGTAATTCTGAAATAAAAGAGTATTAAATGATCAATTTTAAAATATTTTAGGAAATGTTTATGTATGATGTCACAGTGTTATTACACTACATGTGCTGAAATATAAAATTTTAATGATTACCATTTTGAAATATTTTCTCCAACAGGAATTTGTCAAAAATCTAAATAGAAATCAAGAATCCTGGATTGGTCTGGAAGGCAAGTGGTTAGAGGGAAAGATTGACTGGAGATGGGTGGATGGATCAACACTGACACAATCGTAAGTTTAATCTTAAATTTTACTCAAATTTGTTCAACTGTTGAAAGGTAGAACAATATTATTGTGTTGATGGTGCCACTGTGTTGTCATGGCCACAAATAATGTCCTACAATAATGAACTCTCTGTCTTTAAATGCAAGACATTTCAGTTTTTTTTTACTTTTCAAAGGCATTTCTGTTGGACTAATTGAGGAATGGAGAAAAACGTGTGTATCATCGATTGCTAGATACTGGATCAAATGAAAAAAATAATCACTGAAAATAGCTTTCATGTGGATTCTTTTTTTTTCTTTTTTTAGAATACAAGTAAAAAGAGGTAACTTCCATTGGTCTATATTTTCAATTATATCTTTTTGTTCATATATCTACCCTGCGATGGACTGGCGACCTGTCCAGGGTGTTACCCACTTCCGGCCCGTAGACAGCTAGAGATGGGCACCAGCACCCCTTGAGGCCCCAGCTGGGATAAAGCGAGATGGAAAATGGATGGATGGATGGATGGATGTTTATATATCCGTCTAATTATTTACATACCAATCAGATTGAAACAGAGTAGCTTGAGCATAACAATTAAAGATACAGATAAACTTAACAATTAAATAAAGCAAAAACTTTTTTCTAAAACTGACTCCTGCATCATCAATGATAATAATCCTAACATGCTCTAAAAAAGTAAATCTCCACTAAAGAAAACTTTTAGCAGAGGTAAACTCTGGGTCATGATGGTCATGAGAACAAGCATCAAATTGGAGAGGTAAAGTAGTCAATCAATGTGTTGAAGAAACGGAAATTATCATGGAAAAGAAACAAAACACAAAAAGCCAGATAAGAAGACCAAAGGCGGACAGAGCTGAACAAATAAAAAATGGAGTAAAGCTGAAATAAACTAGCAATGACTAACCCAGGAAATATAAGCTGAACAGAGTCAAGTAAATCATAGTAGCCACAACTAGATTATGAAGGAAAGTCACCCACAGCACCTAGCTTGTAAATAAGACAAATTGTCAATAACTTGGAAGATAAAAACAGGAAGTTTCATGAAATTAATTAACCTAATTAACCTAAAACTAAATTTATAAATGATAAAAAACTGTTTTGTAGTGTGATTTAAACTGTTAATGCTGCTTAATGATTCCTTACTGCCCATTACAATGACTGAAAGGTTTAACATCTAAAATTATTTGAGGCTTTTAAGCATAGGTACTTCTAGGAAAGAATTGAAGACAGTCAAGTTAAAGAGAATGGAAAAAAAAATACAATGTTCCAAATGAGCATCTGCAGAGAAAAAATGTGATTTTCCGTGCTCTCTCAGCACATACAAAATCTATAAATAATAAATAATTACACCAGGAAAATGAAAAAAATATAAAGGAGTCTGACAAAACGTCAGTGATGTTTACATTTTTATTTTTCTTCCACAGGTTTTGGAGAGGTGGACAGCCAAATAATCGCTATGAGCGTTCAGCAGCATGTTTCAATAGTGATGGGAAATGGACAAATGTACATTACAATGACATTAGGAACTGGATTTGTGAGAAGAATAGTAATATAAACCATGAAAATTTTTTTTATTAAATTACTTTTAAAAATGACATGTTTCTTTAACATTACTACTCACTGCTTACAGTAGCTTATCCAGAGGGACAGTAGAAGCACATGGTTACTGATGAAGCTTTGATGAAGGATGTAGAAGATTAGAGTCAAACAGACCTTATATTCTGTAGCTCTTAGTTCTTAACTATATTTATTTTAGGTAAAACCTGCTTGTCATCAGTTTTATTTTGTTTTTTGTTTCCTCCTAATTTTAGATTAAAAAGTTAGCAACTTAAATTTCTGATTAGAGTAAAAAGCGTGTAAGAAAATGGATAGATAGAATAATCTAAAAATGATGCAGCTGTTTGTTTCTCTGCTAAAATAGTGGCTCCTCTGATTTCACCTCCTCTTTTACTTTGTCTTAAGTTGTTTTATAGATGATAACTATGACTAGAGTGAAGACTGGTCTTAAAGTCTACAAACTAATGGTATTTTCAGGATGGCATTAGAAATCAATATGAATTAATATGATTAAACATTCAACTCTTAAATTTGAAGCAAATGCAGTAAGGATCAATAGTTTAGTTTCAACCTGAGCATCATACAGCCCTTTGGTTAACTCTGACTGAACCTTTAAAACTAAATAAAAAAAATGTTAAATCATTTTTTCTCTTTGTTTTACTCCATACATGGACTAGAGCCACATTACTTTCATTTTTTAAGTTGTCTCTTCAAATAAAGGTACGTATTGGCTCACTATATGTAAATCATAACATATTGAAATGTCACAAGTTCTGGTCACAAATCACTCTTTAATAGCAAATACTATATTTCGACTCATGCCTAAAAAAGAGAATAATGCCAAATGTAGGGTTTTTAAAAACCCTGGACTGTTAACTACTCAATTTCTGGAGTCAGGAGAAAATCCATGTGTTTAGTTCGAAGAGAGCAGATCGACGTTTATAAGGATAATTAAGATTTTATTGACATTACTAAACGTAACGAATGACAAACTTTACCGATGCTGAAAATGTGTGGATCAGGAGCTTTGCTTTCAAAGCTGTAAAAGCAGCAAAGATTTGTCCAATCCTTCACACATCCAGGGATATAGCAACCAATACAAACTTTGTGATATCCCACAATAATCCCTAAAAACACCAAGCCGTCCTCCGACAAGGAGTTTTTTATTGGGTGCTTGGAGCTCTATCTAGTTCTAGCATGCTCTGACTGGCAGGTGTTACAAAGTAAAGTTGCTCTATTCTGATATCGGCTGAATCACAGCTGTCAGATGGCTCAGTCTGATAAAACTGCAATAAAGAGTTTGGGACACTGAAAAACAGATTTTGTGAGAAGAAAAAAAATGTTCCACATCTCAGAAAATGTTTGGCATGAATGATGGCAGGAATGATTGGCAGATTCTGTATTTACCGTAGATGTAACTGAACTGATGAATGAAATGAACAGACTCTAATACAAGGCCCTTTTGTTCATGAAATGCTCACCCTGGTGAAAAAAAAAATATGAGAAAGTAGCAGCTTCTCTCAAGCCAAGTGAAAAGCAATGATCTCACTCACATGCAAACCCTGAAAGAAGTCGCACCATTAGCTTAACACCTCCATAGGTGTTCATCTATATTAGAAGAACTGCATGCTGAGTTTTCAAGGCAATTTAAGATTTCAAAACAACTGTAGATGAAATGCATACAATTTCCTCTCCGTCTACCTGCAGTTTGGATAATAGACCCAGAAATGTTCAGCTGGGACCTACTGACCTGCAGCCTGATGTTATTCTGGCAGAGAGCTTTAAATCAGTGTCACTGCTGAATTATTACTCTTCTCAAAGCTAAGAACTTTCCAGTCATGAGGAGAAATAATTATATGTTGGTTTTCTTAGGTTTAATCTGTAGACCTGAACAAACATTCTTAGTGATAAAGTTGATCAAACCCAGATATAGATTCTCGCTCACTGATGATCATCTGTCAGCTGAGCTTCAAATATCCACTTTATACATCCAACCTGACTTTGATGCACTTGGTGAAGATATAGATGACTTCTACAAAACAAAAAAATCAATTGATGCGGTTTAACTACACATGCAAGCATGTTAAGGCAATAACTAGCATTTCATTTTAACATTTTATTTGTAGGCATTTTTCTTATTATCACAGTTAAGTTACAATTATTGATGTTATCTGATGCATATTGTTTAATATTTGCTGAACAGAACAACATGGTGAGTCTTTAGAGATAAATATCTTTGCAACTGTATGTTAAACTCTAAATAGGTTTTAGAGTCAATGTGTCTTAATGCTGTTTACTAATGATGCACGAATGTTAATAACTTTAACATTTTGTTTACCATTGATTTATGAAATTTGACTCAATAAATGATATATTTTGGAAAGCAACCTCACTGTTTCATGTCGCTAAATTATAACACAAACTCCTACCAGTTTACCAGCTTGTCTAAACAATTTCTTGTTCTTTTATCAGGAAATACAACTGATATTATTAATGTTGCCAACCACTGGTTTAGCCTTTTAAAGATCTATATTGTGGGGTATTTAAAAAAAAAAAAAAAGTATAGAATGAAGTAAAGACAGTTGTGTAAAGAATTATGTTACCCTGTTAGGTTAGAAGTAAAAAAAAAATGGTTCTTTAATATATTGTGTGAAAAAATTTCAGTGTGGAAATGCAGAGGTGCAAAAGACATAACTTTGACTTAACTTGTTAAATATATTTCCAAGTTTTGTCATTGCAGTAACATTATTAATAAAGGAAATATGACAGCGGGGGAATGAAAAAATGTTTCAAATGATGTTGCATGTCTACCTCTCATAAAGGGTTACATGTATTGTAGCGTTTCCTTGTAGAAAGTATTTCAGCAGCCAGTGTGTAACTTCCTACTAACAGACTTGTTAATTTGTGGTGTACTTGTTGCAGGGTTTGAATGTTATGTGAATTCACCCTTCCACTAAACACTGCTGCTCATAACAAAAAACTTTCAACTATAATCTACCTTCCATTCATTGATATTGAGTGAATTGGAATTATTTCAGTTGTGCAACATTAGTATTGAATTGAATACAGTAATTGTTTGTTGATTTATTTATTTACTTTGTTCACATGTACCAAATAAAATAGTTTCCTTAGATACTTTTGCTGAAGGCCTAAACAAGGCTGGTGATAAACTGGTGCTAAACCACAGAGAAATGCCCCATTTACAATTTTTTTCTGTTTGGGTGAAGTTGTTTTACAAGTAAGAACTACGTTTAACCTCTCTTCACCACTTTAATATTATCAGGATGGACTCCAAAATAAAATCCACTCCAGATATATTCCAAAGAGGGAGATCCAGTATAACAAAGCAAGAAGAAAAAGCAGAATTAATTTGAAAATAAAACCCAGAAAAACAAAGACAAACAGACTTTAGTGTTTGCAGCTTAAAGCGGTTTCTCTGTTCAGAGCTAGTGACGGTAAACAAGAAAATGTTTGCAAAGAGCAGTTTTACACGTCTAAAGTTTCTCCACCACATCAGGGTGTTAGTGCCACTGTTGGTCTGGCTCAC